GTGTGCCACCTTTCTCCCACTGCAGACCAAAACCCCCGACGGATTTCTCAGCCAGCCTTGATCTATACAAACTGCGCAGCGTGCTGCCATAGAGTTCAACGCGATGCCGTTGCCATACCCGCCACCAGAAACGCAGATGACGATTGCTGGACTCCCGGGGTGGCAGCCCTGAGTCCCAACCCTGATAAATAAAAAAATCGACAGCACGTTCCATTCTCAACGTGCAAAGTCGTTCACTCGAAGCCCTTGTGCCGTGCAATTCAAAATGCCATCCACAGGGGGCAGGTACGTTATTAAGAGACGACGCTTTGATCGGAGTTTGAGTGCCGCGACGAACTCGTCACGCCGCGCAGCAAACCTATTGGAAAAAAAAATCCGAGGCAGTGTACATTTACCATGAAAACAAGACCTGCTTGACCCTCCACGAACTCGTTTGAAATCCCGCAAACCAATCTGCGATCGAGCGGTGGTCAATTGGAGACCGCTGGCGAACATTGTGGATTTTCCGTGGACGTTCCAAACACGGGCCCTCATCGACGACCACCACGATTGCTCCGCACGGCGTTGATCTGCCAAGAAAACTACGGTTGCTCCATCAACCGCTTCAGAACATGAACTGGCCGCTGCGCCCACACCTCCTCCACAAGTGGAGAGTTAAAGACGACCCACGGGGCGACTGCGGCCACCCGAACCAGACAATGGACCTCATCCTACGCCCGCTCTCTGGCGGACTGAGCGGTGTTAGTCGCGCAACTCCCGAAGCTATCGCACGGCGCACAGACTTAAACTTGGACGTGTGATTTGCACAGACTTGCCGTACGCTAGAGAGAGTCACGCCTCACTGGCAAGATGCACGCATTTTTTACCAATAAATGCATTATTCCTGCACCAGGCACCCGTTGCCTGTTGTCCTTGCCCTGCACCTCTGATTAGCACGGTTGGCTACGTACGATGTGAAATAAGATCAACATACATACATGGGTCCTAACACTGGGGTTTACCTATATTCTCTTACGAAGTGGTTTTATAGGGCCTCTCAAAAAAAGTTGCTCAACCCATGCCTTCTCACAAGCCCCTGCAATAGGCACACCGCTGCCGAAATACAAAGGACCCATCAAGTACCCACCTAATTGTCTCTGTGTTCTAATACCTGTGAGTAATGCTCTCCCATGGGACTCAACCCTAACTACTGCCGGCAAACTTATAAGCTCCTGCAATCTGCACATCACGCCGAAATACAAAGGACTCATCAAGTACCAATCACATTGTCTCTGTGTTCTAACACTTGTGGGTAAATGGTTTCCCATGGGACTCAACCCTAGCTACTGCCGGCAAATTTACGTTTTTGCAAATTACACTTCAAGGAACCAGGTGATCGCTGCCACCTCTGATGGACAAACAAAGCTAAAGACATGGGAAGAAGACAAACTCACAGTCTCCCGAAAGCGAGGGATTGATCTACGTGTAAATGTATTGTTTTTAGTGATGTGTCATTATTATCACGTGTAACACGTAGGTTTTCCCGACCAATATCCATAAGAGGTTCTTTTTGGGTTAGATCGTGCGTGTAAATATGGTGTCGTTAAACCGTATTATGGATGGTATTATCATGCGGAATAGAAAACCGGCGACTTTGAATGCCAGCGAAATACTCGCACATTTCCCGGGACAGCTGCCTCAACAGGAACACGATCGTGGGGAAAAGCCAGGCCAAGGCGGCCTCAGCGGCGACACACTCCCCACGAGCTGGGACGCCGCAGCCGAGGTCACGGTAGTGAGCAAGCAATGCAGCATCATTTGCATGCTCCGGGTCCTTTTTTTCGAGCTCAAAATGAGCGGTCGATAAGTCGTTTTTGTCCCACTGCCGCTACTGCCCTCTCCAAGGCTGCTCTTTAATGAGTGCGCAGCTGGAGTTGCGCACGATGTTGAGTAAAAGTGGGTGACCAAAAAAAAAATACACACACGCCAGCCCAACAACTGGGCCTTGATGTCGATCCATTCCAATGTATCTGCTTCTAACCACACATGCACACACGCGCACGCACGCAAGCTGGAATTCCATCACACACGTCCCTAAGCAATTGCCCCATTTGACCCGGAGTGCAATGGGGGGAGGGGGGGGGTGGTGCAGTGCTTAGCGCACCGTCTTAAGAACGCGACAACCCGAGTTCGATCATCCGAACTGATCCTTTGAGACGGGCCCCGCTTAACCAAGCCGTAGTGACTTAAGGATACTCTCTGGTTCTTTCGGTAAAGTCACGTAGATAGAAAAAAGAATAAAAGAAAACACGGCGTTTCGGTCGCAACACAAGCATCCGTCTTCAGGTGAGAAAATTATCTGCTGTTGTGGCTTTATATAGGCACGGAACTCGACAGAACTCCTTCCCCCCCCTTCCCCCCCCCCCTCCTGTGCCTATATAAAGCCACAAAAGCAGATCATTTTCTCACCTGAAGACGGACGCTTGTGTTGCGACCGAAACGTCGTGTTTTATTTTATAATTTTTTCTACCTACGTGACTTTACCGAAAGAACCAGAGAGTATGGATTCCTGCAGCCACGAAAGCTTCAAATGAAGACTAACTTAAGGATGTTGAAACATGGCGAAACGAACCCCGTGAATTGTGATGAAATAACCCCCCTGACTGCCAAGCCATGGTGGGGGTGGGGGCATTAATCAAGCAGTGGATTGACAATGGCTGTCTATTACAGCGACAATCCAGTCGCGTGACGCAGTGGTTAAAGCAAACACTTTCCGCTTGACGGGGAGTTGTACGTTTGAATCCTGGTCAGAGGTCAACGCAGCTGCCCATTGATCCACGGTTGATCAAATGAGTACCAATTTTTGGGAAGTCAATCACGGGATTAATTTGGCCCAGCCAAGGGAATGTGGTGACGTGAAAGAAGAGATGAGTGAACATCCTCCATGCTTGTTACAGTGAAAATCACTTTTGAATGTTTATATTCATTTATTTTCATAACCAGTTTACATCACCCCATCTCTCCATATGAATCACGAGCCAAACACTGATTTACGGAATTTGCCAAATATCCCAATCGAGGAAGAGCTCACATTTCCTGGCAGAGCATTTTAAACAAACGGTGCGAGTTTCTCAAAACTCATCTGCCTCGGTTCACCCAGCGGCAGAAAATGAGGTACACTTCCTGCGTAGACGATCGGCAGGTTCCATGCGTTGGTGGGGCAAAGTGTGAGCACTCAATGTCTCTTTCGTGGCATCTCTTTTGGTGTGGCTGAGTAGGCCAAATACCCCACAGTGCAGCCCCTTTCTGACAGCAGTGACGTAAGCAAAGAAATTGCAGGGCTGCACACTTATCTTTGCATTTTATTCCATCTAGAACCCTCCTGGACAAAAAAAAAAAGGTGAGGCTTGCTCGGCTAAACAAAGCTATTGGACTCGTCCATCTGAACAAACTGTCAAATCGCTCTCCGTGGTGCTAACGTTAAAAAAAACCCGCCACTTTTTTCAAATTTTCTTGCTGTGTTTTTCACACCTGATGACGATTGCTTCTTGTGTTGCAGTCGAAACGTCGTGAGAATTTTATTGTTTTATATTTTTATTATTTTATTGTTTCCTTTCTACGTGACTTTACCGGAAGAACCAAGAATATGAATCCCTGCAGTCACGAAAGCTTTCTTTAAAAAAAAAACTATTGTTATTATTACTACTACTTCGGCATAAAAAAAATAACAACTCCAAGCACATCCCCATCTTACCAGCTCTTCTACCTCATTTGAAGGTAAAAACCTCATAGCTCCTATGCCTCCGCACTTTAAGCCTACATGCGTGTATTCCCTTAAGTGCACTTCTACCCGCTTGCGTGTTTTTTTTTCATCCTATTCAGCGAAACACTAAACACCTCTTGTGGAATGCTCAATAAAGTCATTCCCCCAGAGTTATCACACTTTTCTATCCTCCCTCTTATGTAATAACATAATCGCGGTTTTGTTTCGCTCTGCACGACTGCGCCAGACCCCAAACGGCTCTGATTATTTTCCACTTTTGTAAAATTCAGTTTTTCTCCCCAGCTGCCCGCATGTCCGTTTCAGAGATTCTGCTACGCTCCGTGGTTTTAACCTCCGTTCGCGGGCTAGCTGGGCGACACCGGGGCGTGCCATTGCACCGCTGCGTCACTGCCATCACTCGTAACCGACGACACTCACCGCTCACCAGTCATCAACTCACCTAACTTTCACCACTCACCAGTTTACACGGCGTAGTGGGCAGCCCGTTTAGATTCAAGGCCTCCTGCCACCCCCTTCCCCCCAGATTGGGCCTTTCTGGCCACATTGTGAAGCTGACGTCATTGCCGTGACGCACTATTCATCATCGTCTTCCTCTGCAATGAAGCACTTATTTTCTACCACTAAGTGGATTATCCACGAAACTGTGAATCGGGAAACATTTACACCACGTAATTGTCATCCGCCCCCATGGAAAATACATGTCTGTGTCCAACTATTATATCCAACCTGCCTGTCGCTGTTGTATGACGCAAGGCTGTAATTATGATATATATTGGGGGGGACACATCCCCTCCAATATTCAAATATGCTCAAAATGTCCCCCCCAATATGTTGCTATAAAATAGATTTCTATTTATATTATTGTGGTTATAATTGTACTTTATTCATCCCTAATCTCTGCCATTAGATACAATGAAACAAGAAAAAAAAAGTAAAAACAGAGCAATGTAATACAATATACACTATTAGACATTGTTGTAAAAAATAAATAAAAAGTCCATCCGATGTGTTAGTGAATATTTTTTTAATATTTTGTTGTGGATTCGCTCTTCAACACACCGGTGGGCTAAAGTAGTGAACTATTTGTCTTTTGTCAACGTGACACTTTCTTTTTGCTGATTGGCCGTGTCGGGTGGTGGAGGGTTCCGACACATTTATAAATAACGCGATCTAACCCAAAAACCTTTATTATGACTCTCCGACTTGGTCGCCGTAGGGAAGCCGAGGCTTTGCCCACCTTGGGGTAGGGGTGGTGGCGCGGCGCCGGGTATAGTGTCCCCGTATACTGCGGGATCTCCGTCGTCGCCACGCTGGAGTCGTCGATCTCGGCGAACGCCAGGCGGGCGCCGTCCGGTGACCACCAGTGAGCCACGGGGGAGTGCAGGATCTCGTCTGAGTCGCCACACACACGCACGCACGTGACGCACGCGACACACGCAATACACGCGCGCGTGCGGCACACACGCGCGTGACACGTACGCGTCACACGCGCCAAAGACAAAATGTGCCACCGTTCTAGCCTTTAACACGGCGTTGGGGCAAGTGCTATTAGCGAGTGGCACATATGAAGGCTGGCATGGCACGCGAGGGGGGTGGGCGGGTGGCCAGCACCATGCCCGGCCGCCTTCGTCCCCCCAGTGCTGATGTCTATACACCGCACCGGGTAATTGTTTAAGGCTGAGTCGACCTAGGAGAGGCCCAGGACCAGTTCAAATATTCACAGCTGTTATTCGTTGCGAGCAGGAATCAAACTCATACCGCTTTTTGAACAACATGGAACGTGCAACGTTATAACGCGAACTACTTTCTTGAAGCGGTGGTTTAATCACGGGGACTTGCAACCTAGATTCACACTCGGGATTCTCAGCGATGATGGCTAAGTGGTTAAATTTTGATTTAAAGCTTTCGTGACTGCAGTAATTAATATTCTTAGCTCTTTCGGTAAAGTCACGTTGAAGGGAAACAATAAAATAATAATATATATAAAACAATAAAAATTCTCACGACGTTTCGACCATAACACAAACGGTCGTCATCAGGTGTGTCGGTTTGCATTAATTCATTGTCATAATTCAGTAGGCTCACATGACATTGACTTTTCCAAGACAGAGGTTATTTGTAAGCCATCTGGCTACCATGAGAGATTCGTTCATGAGGCTATCCACATATACAAACAGAGAGACAATTTCAACCGAGAAGATGGATTATGGCTTAGCAATCATTGGAAAGATTTGATTAACCATTTCAGGTCTTAATTGATTGTTCATGCTTACAGTGGCTTTCAGACAGCATACATTAATTTTTAGTCTCCCCCCTCCTCTTTTCAGAACATATATGGACTAGTCCTTCTAAATAAACTGCCAAATCGCAGCGCGTGGCGCTGACGTTTTTTTATAAATAAATACACCGTTAAAAAATAAATTAATTAATGCAAACCGACACACCTGATGACGACCATTTGTGTTATGGTCGAAACGTCGTGAGAATTTTTATTGTTTTATATATTTTATTACTTTATTGTTTCCCTTCAACGTGACTTTACCGAAAGAGCTAAGAATATGGCTCAGTGCTCGAAGGGTTCATACAGCGCGTGGCCCTTCACGAGCTATGCGTCTGGTAGTTCTACCACTCGAATATTATTATCGCACAAAAGCATCTGGACTCATAGCGTTTAACTTTGGTCATGACGCATATTCAGGGCTCGGAGGGGTCAAGAATACTTGACCCATGAATATTAGTTGTATGATTATAAATGAACCACGATGGCTTTAATTAATTACCTGCAGTTCGCCTGTGTAAGGGATTAGGCTGGCACAAGCAGGCATGTAGGACACGTGTGAGAAGAGCCGCCGGTCAAGAGAATGCCCGCTAGCTATGGGGGGGGGGGGGCTGGGGGGGGAATTGCCCCCCTCGCGACTGGGCGCCCTCTGTCACGAAAAATGTTCGGGAGCACAATGAGAATATTGTCGCGGTGTAAAGTGTGCGGGACTGAAGTCCACACGGTGGTATTGTGTGATCCCCACTTTGGTTCGTCAACACTTATAGCGTGTGTGGTGTGTGTGTAGTGAGTGCGTGCGGAGAGTGTGTGCGGTGTGTGTGTGTGGTGTTTGCCAGTTGTGTTTGGTGAGTGTGTGTGGTGTTTGCCGGTTGTGTTTGGTGAGTGTGTGCGGTGAGTGCGTGTTGTGAGTATGTGCGGTGAGTGTGTGTGGTGAGTGTGTGCAGTGAGTGCGTGCGGTGAGTGTGTGCGGTGAGTGTGTGCTGTGAGTGCGTGCGGTGAGTGTGTGCGGTGAGTGTGTGCGGTGAGTGCGTGTGCTGAGTGTGTGCGGTAAGTGTGTGTGGTGAGTGTGTGCAGTGAGTGCGTGCGGTGAGTGTGTGCGGTGAGTGTGTGCTGTGAGTGTGTGCGGTGAGTGTGTGCTGTGAGTGCGTGCGGTGAGTGCGTGCGGTGAGTGTGTGCGGTGAGTGCGTGTGCTGAGTGTGTGCGGTAAGTGTGTGTGGTGACTGTGTGCGGTGACTGTGTGTGGTGAGTGTGTGCGGTGAGTGTGTGCGGTGAGTGTGTGCGGTGAGTGTGTGTGGTGAGTGTGTGCGGTGAGTGTGTGTGGTGAGTGTGTGCGGTGACTGCGTGCGGTGAGTGTGTGCGGTGAGTGTGTGCGGTGAGTGTGTGTGGTGAGTGTGTGCGGTGACTGCGTGCGGTGAGTGTGTGTGGTGAGTGCGTGCTGTGAGTGCGTGCGGTGAGTGTGTGCGGTGAGTGTGTGCTGTGAGTGTGTGCGGTGAGTGTGTGCGGTGAGTGTGTGCGGTGAGTGTGTGCGGTGAGTGTGTGTGGTGAGTATGTGTGGTGAGTGTGTGCTGTGAGTGCGCGCTTTGAGGGCGTGCGGTGCTCACCGCCATAGAGCCAGTCTGTGATGCCATTGTAGACGGAGACTTCCTTGCCCGAGGTGGTGAGAGGGATGGCCGGGCTGCGCACGTTGTGCTGGTAATAGATGTTGTTCTTGTAAATGTACACCTGCCGACAGAGAGATGTCGACATAGTCGACCTGGGTGGGATCGGTAGCGCAGTGGTTTCCGATTCCCCACCTGCGGCTAACATCAGCGGTGAGTGGTGTCTCAACCAGTCCTGGACCCTCCCTCCTCCCCCCACCCCTCATCCCACCCACACCTTGTGAAAAAAGGCGGCAGTATAGAGATACTTTTGAAACCTTTTCGATTGCCTCTGATCCATTTTAAAAAAAAATCTGCCATGCAAATGCTGGATTTGGGATATGGCAATCGGTCTGAAATTGTTACTCATCAGCGCTGAAATATGCTGAATTAAGTAACAAACCAAATGTTATTTCAACTCAACGATGTGCGGAGGTCTTAGTGCATGAGCAGTGCGTCGAATCTCAAAGGAGAGCGGCAATGGAAGTTGCCGTCACAGAACTACGTCTGAAGCCGCTGCAATCGGCCTCTTTGTCCGCACCGGGGAACGTACGCTGAACTTCTGTCGCACCGAGCGTAGCCAACCGTGTTGATCGGAGGTGTGTGACACGCACTTCCTACGCGCCTTGCTAGATGTCAGTCGAATCAAGCGTCTAAACGTTCCAGAGACGTTGAATTCGTCAAGCGCAAAAAAAAATTTGATTCGTGGCGCGTGCAAACTCGTCGCGTTGTGAGTGAGACTCGGCCAGGGCCACGAGGGCGCCCATAGACCATCATCGACATCATAAACATCATCGACATCGTCACCATCATCAACTCGCTCGCCAGATTGGCCACCCAGGTGTCCAGCGTTGGCCGCATCGGTGCTCTGGCCGGGGGGTGGCGCGTTCGGGCAGCGAGCCCCCCAATCGCGCGTTTGTGACGTCACCGCGCGCTGACACGCGGTGACGGTCATTTTGAAATTTTCATGGGGAGCAAAATAATTCGCACACACCTCTGGGGGGGGGGGTGGGGGGGCGGGTTGGGGGGGATAACATTTGGATTCTGTTTAAAAGGCCCATCGGACTCCTTTCACCCCGGATTCATCGGGACACGGCTATTTTGATGACATAGAAACTGTGCGACTGACATGTTTAGATAGAGGCAGGGAGGTGCTGGCCCTTTACAATGTCTTCAACACGTGGACCTGGACCAGAGCTGTGGTCCCGGTCCATAGTAGCTAGTTACGGTGTGACTAATGTAGTTAGCCTTGTGGTCACCACCCGGTTAACTACACCAGTTACGTTGTAATTAGTGTAGTTAGCCTGGTGGTCACCACGCGGTTAACTACACCAGTTACGTGGTAACTAGTGTAGTTACGTGGTAACTAGTGTAGTTAGCCTGGTGGTCACCACCATAGGTTGCTATTCTGTTAAGGGGAAAGTTACCCCGTGTGTTGGTGTTAAATAAATGTGTTGCCTCCAAGAGTACGTCTGCGACTCAGGTGAACTCACTACACATGCATGCATGCAAGGCACGAGTACTTGCTCCTCTTCCAATAAATTTGGCCAACATGGAAGAGTAGGCCAAATACCCCTCTCGAGGGCATCTCCAGAGCTCACCATACTGGAGGCCTTTCTGCCAACAGTGGCAAAAAGCGATTCATTGCAAGTGCTGAACTTTTCAATCAGGAAAGCCTCCCAACACTATTTCGGTTACGGATTTCGCTTGACCGTACTTCACCATGCTGGTCAGCGCGACAGTGGCGACTAGGAGTGGCCTGGACTGGTTCTGCTATTGCGCAGCAGTGATGGTGCGCCAGTGCTGGGAATCAAACTCAGGTCACCAGGGTTCACAGCGCAGTGTATTGACGGGTTTCCACCGCTGCAGCCCCGCTGCTTGCCACCGTGTCTCTTGCAATGATCGCATTCATCTGTGTGTGTGTGTTTAGACGGCGATATCTGATTCGTCTACAGGCAAACCTTATCTCTTCACACTCATGCACGCTTAGGGGCATCGGGATACAGCGAATGCTGATAAATGGAAAAAGGTCAACAAACACAGATGGTATGTTTTAAAAGGATAAAGGCGCAGCCCCTGCAAACTGCTTTATTACGTCATTGTTGGCGGAAGGGGCTTCAACCTAGTGGGAGGTCGAGAGAGAGGATTCCTCTGGATGGTGTTTTGGCCTACTCTTCCACGATGGCCAGTTCGTCTTGGAAGCAGAGGTGGGAGTTACCCACACTTTACCCCAACACGAAGTTGCCTGCCGATCGACTTACTGCGGTGTGAAGCATGTCCGATACGGCTGCACTACCGGGTGGACAGGGGGTGTCGTTGACTGGAGGATAGATGGCGTTCGCTTTGCCGAAGTTTATTTCCACGTGTTCAGATTTCAAAACGAAGACGATGATGATTATGATGATGACACGTCACCTTTTTAAAAACGAGTGCGGAATGCAAACGAAAGGGAGGAAAGGGGCCAAACACGGTCTACCATGTGCGACTGAGCTACAGGAATTTGGCTGTGATCTCTGCACCTTGGCCATCTCCTCTGCTGGGCTTGCCGCTGATGCCTTTCACGATTTACATGAACCGCACATTACGCTGAACGAAAATGCGAATATTTAGGCGCGTAGCCATTCGTTCCTCCATCTGGACAAAGATTATTCGGTGCTGCTGCTGCGTTGGCAAGTGGTGCACAATCACATTGAACGAAAACAACAACAACAACAACAACTCAACACAATTCGTAAATTTAATTGTGTCGCCTTTAAAAGTCAAATGTACGATACGTAACGTTTAGGGCAATGGGCCGAGCACATGTGCTATGAAGAAGGGCCATTACCTGAAACGTCTCCTATATAGAGAGATGTTCACTTTAAAGGTCACAGTGCAAGTCAGATTTCTAATAAATGAGAAACCTTTGATGAATGTGACGGGTTAAACAAAAAAAAACATCTATTTGAAGAATGATTATGACGTGTGTCTGCGATGCGAATGAATAATATGTTTATTAGCACGTGTTGTTTACCTTTTACTTGCTCCTTTGGATTAATTTGTTTAGAGCTGTGCATGCAATGCGTGTGGGTTGTAAACGACTGATTCTTGCACAGCGGACTCGATGCGAGTGCGATAACTAATCTTAATTCAGAGTCGACTCCTTGTTACGTGCCTAAATAACGGTGAAATCGTAGCAGCGATTGCGCGATTATTAACCGTCTGTTCTTCCCACGATGAAGCTTGTGTCAATTAATTAATCCATACTCATATAATTAATTAGACAACTTTCAAATAGGGACGTTTCACAATCCGACTCGGAATCTTTTTGCGTTGCCTTAAAAAAAAGCAGCGCCGACGTACAATGTGCGCGTAAGAGGATGTTGTCACGTTGAATTCACTTCAGGTCCGATACTCCCTCCAGCGATGTTGTTACATTTCATCCCCTTCAGGTCAAATACTCCCTTGCACCGGCAAGTGGCGCGAGCAAGCAATTGCGGGGCTGCGCCTTTACCGCTTTTTTCATTTTGAACAACGGGCGACTCCTTCGTTGTTAACCGTGTGCTCATTCATGATTCGCGGTGTTTGTTCGTCGCGGACTCACGAGCTGTTGTCCGCGTGTGCCCCAGCCGGCGAACTGCAGGGAGCCCTCCGAGCCTCCTGGAACCTTCAGCTCATGGAGTTCCCTGGGGCAAAGACAGGGACAGAGATATCCCTCACCGAGCACGGCCTTAACGCACCGTTGGGGGAAAGTGCTGTTAGCGAGCACCTGTGAAGGCCGGCGCGGCACACGAGGGGGTGTGTGGTCAGCATCAGGCCCGACCGCCTTTGTCTCCCGAGTGCTGTTGTTTTACACACCGCACCCGGGTACTCATTTGAGGCTGAGTCGACCTAGGGGAGGCCCAGGACCGGTTCAGATAATCGTTACCGGTGTTGGCCCTGAGCGGGAAATAAACTCAGGTCGCCGGGTTCGTGACGCAGCGCGTTAACCACTGTGCCACTGCTCCCCCCACACTACTGGACAAAGACACACATGCAAACAACACGACTTTCTCAAATTTAGCCTCATCGGCTGTTGAGGAAAGCAGAAGCCATCGAGTGTGCAGGCGCTGCAACTGCACCCAGGCACCATGGGCCAGAGTCGCCCAGGTTGGTGAGGAGAGAGGGTCCGGAATCACTCGCCACCAATGTCAGCCGTGACCAGGACTCGAACTCGGGAAGCCGGGTGCATAGTGCAGAGCGCTAACCGCTGTACTTGGCTTCTCAAGCGGAATGCGTCGGTGATGGTCTGAGCTCGGCCCAATCTCTAATGACCGCACAACGCTGTGCGGGCGATTTGACCAGGAATTCAGCCCGGGTTGCAGGAACCGCAGTTCACTGCTTGATGCACCGCCGCGTGCAATGCCGCTACCTCGCAGCTGCACACGGAAGCCCACGGATCAAACGCATTCCCACCTGCCAATCATAGATTTGATTGACTTCATAACGTCCATTGAGAAGGGCAGGAATATGATATCGCTACGGTTAATAAAACAGTGTGCACCCACTGGATGTCAGGGCGCTTGATTTTTCTGTCAGGTCTCATTTAATTGCCCCGAAAATGTTTTGGCGAGGTATGCCAAAAACTCGTGCCTCCGCGGACCCCCGTGTGCTGGAAACTGCCGCTAATACCTGGCAGGAGTCGCGGTGCAAAACGAATTTGTGGCGCTCAGCCGTCCTGCTCGTTTTGCGTAAAGAAACGGCGGGACGCACATATTGCGGCTCGCCACGGCGGCAAGTCCCAGCACAATAACAACAATAACAGCAAAGTCCAAATTCATCAGCTCCAGTAATGTCTCCAATCACTTTTTGTTCAACGGGCAAAACAGCGTGATTTTGGGGTCGACTATTTGTTCAGCAACATTGTTTCGTGGCCCGAAGCGAAGAAAGAAAGGGAGAGAGGAGAGAAGGAGAGAGGGAGGGAGGGAGGGAGGGAGGGAGGGAGGGAGGGAGGGAGGGAGGGAGGGAGGGAGGGAGGGAGGGAGGGAGGGAGGGAGGGAGGGAGGGAGGGAGGGAGGGAGGGAGGGAGGGAGGGAGGGAGGGAAGGGAGGGAGGGAGGGAGGGAGGGAGGGAGGGAGGGAGGGAGGGAGGGAGGGAGGGAGGGAGGGAAGAGAGTTGTGTTAGAAAAGTGAACTTTAGAGTGTTGCCCAAGTTGAAGAGGGAGAAACAATCTCTGCTGGCCAAGGTCACTCTCAGAACAGCCCTTCCATGTTTCTCCTTTTTTAAATTTCTGACTTTCTCGCTTTTCCAAAGTCGGTATGTATTCGCTCCGAATGTCTAAATTGGCTGCAGCTTGAAATATTCACGACCAAAGGTGCGGAATTATTCATCTGGGCTCTGTCTCTCCGGGAGCGGTGAACACTAGCGGAGCGGGCCGGGCCAAAGACGGAGCACAGCAGAAGAAGAAGAGGGCCTGAGACGGCATCCAACCCGCTAGGGTTGCCACCTGTCCTGGTTTTCTCAGCATCATGCTCTTGCCGAGCAGGTAACTGTCGAGACAAATCCCCAAGTCTTCCCAGGACAATAAAAGTCCCAGTTTGTTTCGTCAGTTATGTAATGATAATCATATTCAGGGTGACAAACCACTCAATGCGATGCATTTACATGTGGTTCACCCCTCCTTCGGTACTGTGAGATGTTTGTTCTACTCGTGGTAATGTCGCAAGTTTTTGTACTTCAAAGGAAGCAACCTCACTAAACTAAGCCCTGGAATCAGGCCTCTATCGTCAAAGCAAATGCACCAGGGTTGGGCAATGGTAAAATAATTCAAATGAAACTAAATTAATATTTTAAACAACAATTTCAAGATATCAATACGCTAATGATGCCAGCCTCCACAGACCCTGGGCGACTGTGTCTGAGTGCAGTCGATTCAGGGGCTATTAAGAGAAGCCGTGTGGCCAAGTGGCCACGTGGCTGAGTAGCCAGGTCGGCAAGTGGCCAGGTGATCGTGTGGCCCGGTGGCCATGTGGTCGTGTGGCCAGGTGGCCGTGTGGCCAGGTAGCAGAGTGGCCAGAAGACCAGGTAGCCGGGTCGTCGCGACATGTTTATGCCACTAAAGTTGTGAGACAACAATATCTGGCAATATCATTAATGTGGCCACACTTAACCTCCGTTCATGAATTTAAGATGAAAGGAGATGTACATGTATAGGTAGTGCATTAATATATCAAACAAAGTAGACAAAATAAAAGAAGAGAGGAAACATTTTTTCACTATTCAATTCTGTCCTTGTCTTTTATTGTGTATGATTGTCTCCGCTGTATTCTTTTTAAACCCAACTATTTCATCTGCAGTCACTTTCTTGCTGAGTAATCATCTCTAAACACCCCTTTCCTCGAGCGCCTTGAGATACACTGTGTGGGAGGCACGCTATAGTAAATGGTGATGGATTAAATTATTGTCTGCTTGAGAACATTGTGACTGTTCACTGCGCCTGTCTATACATGCATAACGCACATTCTGACCAAAAGACAAAGATCCCCTTGATAGACTGTTGGGGCAAGTGCTGTTAGCGAGCACTTCTGGTACGCCTGCCCGCTTTTATCTCCTTAGTGGGGATACTTACGCACTGCGCCAGGTACTCATTTCAGGCTGAGTCGCCCAGGGCCGGTTCAGATAATTGTCACTGGTGTTGGCCATGAGCGGGAATTGAACTCGGGTCGCCGGGTTGGTAGCGCAGGGCGCATACCGCTACACTACCGCGCCCCCACGCACGCACACACACAGACGCACACGTGCAGGGTGTCTCCTGCTGTGCTACAGGGCGGCAAGTCGGAGGTGGTCTGCTGCATCCACAAAACCACCGTGTGGGTCTGCTGTGCCCACAGACCGCTATCGGGCCTGCAGTGTGGAACTCACCTGCTGTGCACGTTGTAGATGGTATAGGAGGCAGATAGGAGGTACCGAGGCGTCTGCAGAGAAAGAGGAGGGGCGGAGGAGGAGGAGGCGGGGGGGGATAACAAGTGTAAATACAGGTAAAACGATCATTATAATACGAATGCTCTATCGGACCAAAACAAAGACAAAGATACACCTATAAAGACTGACCAGACTGTTGGGGCAAGTGCTGTTGGCGAGAACCTATGAAAGCCGACACGGCACGCGAGGGGGTGGGTGGCCAGCAACTACGCCCGACCGCCTTTGTCTCCCCAGTGGCGATGTTTACACACCGCACCAGGTACTAATTTAAGGCTGAGTCGATCTAGGGGAGGCTCAGAACCGGTTCAGACAATCGTCGCTGGTGCTGGCCGTGAGCGGGAATCGACCTCGGATCGCCGGGTTTGTAGAGTAGTGAGCAATTCAGTGAAGCAGGACCTCACTCACCCGGTGGCCCATGTTGAAGAAATGCACAAAAACACAATCGCCTTGGTAATTTGCCCCATTGCTGGTCATTTATGGAGACATGGACACATTTTTTTGCCAATATCAGAGTAAAATCCACATTTGCTTATGAGTGGATGAGGCAGCTTTTACGTATTCATTCAGAGAAGCCTAAGTCTCAAACCTTTGCGTACCCATAATACTGTAAAAGTAACACAAATATAACAGCATATTAATACCACGAGCATCTCTGGAAGCGTATTACATCAAATGATACCAGAGAAAAAAACATCAAACGTCGCAGAGACTCGCCGCAAGTTTAAACTGGACGTGTCTGGCCCAATTCCACTTCGAGTTTTCCTTCGCCAATTGTTGGGATGAGGCCCGCGGAGTTGCCTAAGTCAATTGTTTACCCCGGGAGGAGATTCACCGAGTCTCGAGACTCGTGCTGGAAGGCTCTCTGTGGAAAAGGTTTGGCCACCAAATAGAAGGCTTGCCTCTGGTGTAGGCCAATCATTTTCAAAGACAATGCATATATTATCAAGGCATGTTTGTTTGCATGTTCACCACAAGTGCGTATGGTTAATGTAGACTTGATTCCTTGCAAAAGATAACTATTTGGTGTTTGAACATCTTAACACCTGTTTTATTTCCAGAACGGGTAAAAAAAAACCCATTCTTATTTTTCATACTTTGATACATCACTGGCAAAAACGGTCTCGTAAATAGCTCATTAATGACATTGGTAAAACCTTTTCTTATTTTTAATGCCATTAATAAGATTTTGGCAGATTGAAGGAACGTTAAGAGACCGGGAGAAACCCCACGATGCGTGAAGAGAAGGGGTGACACTCCGCACTGCCATCTGCTGGCTACCATGCAGACACATACCCAATAATATTAGTTTACTTATTCATCCAGGATAGTTGTAGCACTCTTCTTCAAAAGAGGCCAGCTGCTGCACCATATCCCCGTATATATGGAAACAGATGGCGATTAGTCCCCTTGCCTTTCTGTCTGCTCTTGGCGAGCTAGGAGCAGACAGAAAGACACTTGAAACAACTTCGCCGTTGCGACGCCCCACAGGAAAGGCGTTTCACATCATCTGTGTGCGATCCACCAACGCTCGCAGCTGTCTCCACAGCGCTGGATTACAGGCCACGTGCCACACGGCCAGCACCTCCCGGCTATGACAACACGTGGTCATGCTTAACCACACGGGACAAGTACAGGTTGGTGGAGGAGGGACCCGTGAGAGGTTATCAATCACCACGGATGTCCATCATCATCATCATCATCGACTGAAGTGGCGCAAGCTCAATTGGACCTCCCGTGCTGAACCTTCAACGATGCCACTTCAACCCTGATGATGACGATGACGACGACGCTTAGAACGCCGAATTGAGTTCACCAGCAGTGACAAACACGTCCTCCTCGTCAAGGAGCCGACAACGCAGAATATCCCTTGGCTTCGATCTTTTGCGTAGCTTCTGGGCACAACCCCTGAACCACATCATCTGCACACAAACCCATGGCAGCGGCAGCTGATGATGATGGCGATGATGCAGACACTTGGTGATGCATAAACGGGCAAAAACAACAACAACAACAACTATAAAGTGTGTGACTGTGGTCACCCAAAACAGAATGGTGGGACGTATAACATTGGCCCAATGCCCGATTCACAAACACGAAGAGCAGGCATCATCATCATCCTCACGCCACTACTGGGCGGCGGCGGCCGTGACGGTGGTGGCGCATTACAGGTCGACATTACATATTATTTTTGTTACACCGTGGGATCGTGAGAGATGATGACAGCTTGGGGGGGGGCTTCATCCAGCAGTGGTTTGACCATCGCTGGCCGCCACCTCCACTGACGACCTCCGCGTGTATCTCGCGCGGGATCGGGGACGCGGGGAAGATCCTCGCGTCGAGTTGGCGGGCGCCTTACATTGGCATTCGCCTGGCGGATGCGTGGCCAATTTTTCCGCGGCATTTTCGCGTCTCGGGGCCAGCGGATCGGGGGAAAGGAGACGAGGCCTGGGGAACGTTAGCGGGGCGCTTCGGGGGGGGGGGGCGGGGGGGGGGCGATTTAGGCACTCGCGGTGCGCGGCGGCTCCGCGTCGCAGCGGTTTAGGTTTGGAGGTGGGGGTGGGTGACGATGCGGTGGGAGGACTTGGGTGCGGGTGGGGGGTGCAGGCTGTATATGGGATTTGAGGAAGGTTTAAATGTAAATTGGAAAGCAGTCACCACCAGCAACCTCCAGGCACTTGAAACAACTTCGCCTTTGCTTCCCCCTGCCCCCATCATCACGCACCAGCACGGCAACCATTACCGTCGACTCTTCCGTGACACGCAGCCACCGGCGCCGAAATCATTCTGCGATCGCGCCTTTCGCCTCGCGCCCCCTGCCTCGTTCGTCCGAGAATCAGCGCGCTCGCCAACATTTGTTCAAGTTAAAATGCGGTGTCCACAGCACAGACGCCATCTCGATCGGTGGTCGTTGAGGCGACGGTACGCGGGCCACGGTGAGAGTGCGGAGGGGAGAGGCTCAGGTGTTGGACCACCGTGCCCTGGTCACGCGAAACGCCAAGCGGCCGGTGACAAACAGCGAGGGGTAAGAGATGAGCTCGGGGAAAAGGAGAAAGACGATGGGGGGAGGGCATTGAAAAGGAGAGAGACGATGGGAGGAGGGCATTTAAAAGGAGAGAGACGATGGGGGGAGGGCATTTAAAAGGAAAGAGACGATGGGGGGGGGGGGGGGAGGGCATTGAAAAGTTGAGGAGCGCAATGGCAGAAGCGGCGCTGGAAGCGTCAGCGCCCCAGACTGTGGTGAGCGGGCAAGCGGCTGAGTCGTTGTGACCCGCGGCGTGGCGATTGGACGCCGCGTGATGGATGGGGCACGGCAGTCGGTCTGGCAGGCCGGGTCCTCAACACTGGCGGCGGAATCCGACGGGTGAGGTTCGAGGGAAGCGTAAACCGCGGTCGCGGCGAGAGGAGAGCGATTGGCCTGCCGCTCGAGTTGAGTATTGAACCCGTGGCTTCGCGCGTGCCGTTTGTGACGCCTGGAGAGAGAGAGAGCGTTTAATGGGTTTAATAAAAAAAAATGTCGGTTATTTTGTCCATCAACGGTGGGATGCTGAATGCCAAGGGGATAGATATCGTACCCACCGCGTATCGCTCACATGCACATTGCAGCTTAACTCTTTTCCTCTGCTTTCTTCGCATTTGCTCTCCATTGACGATAGCTCTGGGCAAGGATTCCTTTTTTTAAGATCAGATTACGAGTCGAGTTAAGGGTTGCGCCATTCATGACAGAGCGTTGTGGTTGGGGTGAGTGATACGAATCAATCGTGCAGCTCAGTCAGCAACCTACGTCCTGCACTTCAATCTGTTGCCCATACGAGGCAGCGCTCGCCGGCAACGAAGTCAACTGGTAACTGGGTTGTGTGGATAGGAGGAAAATGAAGGGGAACGCGGTGGTTTCGCAATGCTTTCTTCCTTCTGACGCGGGGTGATGCACTGCCCTCCACAAGACCCCTGAACACAAAACGTCTAATTCGTCTCACGGCATGAAAGCAACGAGCGTAAGCGAACTATCACGGAGGAATTATTAAGAATAAAAAGAACAAACAAAAAAAGGCAACTGGACCCATGTGAAAGATAGCTGACCCGCGATTTTGAAGCGATCGCCCCCCGTTCGGCTCTGGCGCTGCGTCTCTGCAACGGGAACCCGCCCGTTCCAACGCTCCTCACCGCTCAATACAATTTCGCCTGTGCAGCAAAGCGAGCCTGAGCTCGCGGAAGCGGTGGGTGGGGAGGCCGGGGGGGGGGGGGAATTTTACACAAAGCTTGGAACAGATTAGAAGAAGACACGGAAAATATCTCATCACAGCAATTCGGGTGGGGATGGGGGTGGGGGACGTGTGTGTGTACATCTTGTACTCGAACTCAGCCTCCGAAACGTCGTTCAGAGGCAAACCTCTCACTCTTGACCAGCGGCCTGGCTGGTCAAGAGGGAGAGGCCAGGCTGGTCAAGAGTGAGAAGTTTGCCTCCGAAACGTCGTTCGGAGGTAAACCTCTCACTCTTGACCAGCGGCCTGGCTAGGTCGTGTTCGCAGCGATGATACAAGCACTCGAAATAAACATGCGCGGAAGTAACCAACAACAACAACAACCACGGCCGTAATTAACTCCAAGTTAATTAAACGCATGTGAAGCAGGATAAGGAGCTCACCTCTTGATCTCTTAAAACAAACAAGGGGCAGTAGTTTCAGCCGAGTAGCTCTGGGCAAACCAGGAGGGCAGTGCTCATTAATGCCCCCCCCCCTCCTTCGCTCCTTAATGAGTACACAGGGCCACGTAAGCTCATTAACCTGGAGCGGACACCCTCGAGCGCTTTGTATTATAATAATTCTGGGTGCACAGGCCACCGAACTGACGAGAGGCTTGCGTGGGGGCGTGAGATGTGTAAATGTCGCCCACTGGGGAGACAAAGGCGGTCGGGCGTGACGCGCTGGCCCACTCACCCGCCCCCCTCTCGCGTGCCACGTCGCCTGCCTTCACAGATGCTCGAAAAACAGCGCTT